AAAATATAACGACTCGTTAAGGCGATTCTAAGTCGACTCTTTATTTTGAGAGACAATATTTTTATTTATCATGCACTTTTTTGATTAACAACTTTGCAGACTGTTTACATTGAAGGATAGCTACCTTACAAACTGCAAAAGATATATTTTTCGAAAACCCATATGACCTGCTCTTTAAGATTTCCCTTCACTGGAAGAAGAGGCCTAGCCCAACCCCTGAAAAACAACCCCATACCATTATCCCTCCTACACCAGTCTTTATACTTGGCACCAGGGCTGTCATGATACCACATTTTTCACTACACAACTATTGTATAATGCGGAACTTTCACTTTTAATCATTTACTTTAGACAACCTCAGTCATGCTTGGTGTAGACATGGTGTTAGACCATTGCTTTAGGAACTGTTATCAAGTAAGTTTAATTCATGATGCTTGTCTTTTCTACTTAAAGTAAAATTTTGCACCATTGTACTGAGCATAACCGTAATACTGAATGTAACAGGAATGTAACAGATGTGCTATTAAGTAATGGAGACCGTTTTAAGCTGACTGTTTTCACCCACTCGTAGCATTTTACATTTTACTGCTGCTGTCTTTCTTGTCAAAGAGGTTGTTCTGTGCTGGTGTCAGTCGAAAAACTACAGTACATTGCACAAACAGTGCACTAGCAGTTTAGACAGCTTCTTTGGTTCTAAATTTAAGCTAAAGTTGTTGTCCAAATGCAAAGTTGTATTGATTTGAAGCCATTTGCATTTGTCATTTGCCATTAGTGCTCAATCATTTATGCTATCTTTAAAATTACAGAAAGATTTCCAATATTTTTTTTGTCATCAGTCGATTAATTTGCACATTCAACTTACGTGCTTAAATGAATAAATGTGTGCAGGAGTTTTTTGCATTAGTCGCACAGAACTTGCAGGAAATTAGTAAAAATATCCGCAATCCTACCCTGAAATTCAGGCCTTGCTATAGTAGCAAAACACTGAAAACCAGTTGTTATTTGAATGTAAAGCTGTCATACTAAATACTCAGTAGCAAAAAATGTGTTGAGGTGTTCAAACAGTCCCTAACAGATATCTTTTTTCTCTCTTTCTGTGTTAATCCTCCCCTCCAGGTGAGAGCTATGTTTGTGCCTCTGAGAACTTGTACAAGAAAGTGGACTACACCAAAAATGTGAACCCCAACTGGTCAGTCAATGTGAAAGCATCAGCTAGCCAGAAGAACATGCTGGCCAACCGCACAGCCGGTGAGCTGAAGGAGAACAAGGACTTTGTGCGACCGAAGCTGGTGACAGTGATGAGGAGCGGGGTGAAGCCGCGGAAGGCAGTCCGTGTGCTACTCAATAAGAAGACGGCACACTCTTTTGAGCAGGTGCTCACTGACATCACAGAGGCCATTAAACTCGAAAGTGGAGCAGTGAAAAGGATCTACACACTGGATGGCAAACAGGTATGGGAGGAGTACATACTCTAAAAAATGCTGTTTTGGCAACCCAGCGCTGGTTAAGTATTTGGCAGAACACATGCTGAGTTATTTTGACCCAGCTGGTTGGGTTAAATGTTTGAACCAACATGCTGGGTTGTTTTATTTAACTGAACTATTGTTTAAAAATTACTATATTGCGGCTTAAAATGGTTTGGAATTTAGAAATCACACACAGAATCACTAATGGCAACAGTAATAATCAAATGGTGAACATTTATTAATGAGCAAAAACACCCATGGACAAAAATATAAGACAAATTGAATTCATTTAGATGAATACAGCATAGTTATATGCTAGTTACAATATTACATACATTTAAAGTTGTTTAACAAACATTTTAGATATAAAAAATGTAACATTTAAAAGTAACATTTTAATTCAAGTGTATTCAACCATTCTCCCTTTCAACCGAAATAGTGCTGATTTTCGTGCCGTTGTGTCACTGAAAATCTGAGCCAGTGATGGGCTGCTGATCGGCAGGGAAACTGCGAACCTCAGATCGCTGCCTCACGTTTCCCTCATAGCTAAGATGCCGTGACTGACTCCATAACCTGCCCATTAACAAACAATACTGTGATTAGAGAACATAATTTAACATCAAAATAAACTAAATTCAGTATTATAATAAATAAAATCAGTTTATGTTATGCAAGGCAAAAGGCTTTTCCATCATGCGAAATGACCGTTGCTGACGTATTTTGCTGACTGACATCTCGTTCCTGTATGTTGCGTTGTGTAAAATAAAATCTTTTACAGCACAGCACTTTATAGATTAAATAAAACATATGCAAATCTTTATTTCACTAAAGAAGTGCACCCATTAGGTGGCGCTGAGAACCGCTCTCTCTTGAAGAGGATGCAAAAAGCCCGCGCCCTGACTGTAACTCAACAGCTGGGTTGAAGTAACCCCGTGCTGTGTTGTTTCGTCAGAGGGAGGGGAAGGGGTATATAGTTTCAGCTATCAGTGAGATTGACCCAGCTACTAACCCAACGGCTTGGTAACACAAAAACTACCCAACACTGGAAACAAAACAACCCAATATATGACCCAACAGGCTCAACCCAGCAGTTGGGTAAAAACAATAACCCAGCATTTTTTAGAGTGCATCAATATAGTAAGAAACACTAGGTTTGGGAGTGGAATATTACTGTATTGCTTACTCTGTACTGCACAGTATATAATGTATATTGCAGACCAATTTTTTTTATTATTGTATGTGAAACATTATACAATCTGCAACAATACACTTATATTTCATTTGGTTCATTCAACACACTGGAAATGGAAGTTCAAATCAGGTGCTTTCAGGGGTGGGCAATAAGACAAAAATTTTATATCACAATATTTTATTTCACAACAATTTTTGTATATTCAGGGCCCTCAGCACAGTGGGCAGGTCCCATGAAGGGACGGTAGGAGGATGAGGCAGATTCAGCCTCCTAGCACCCTTCAGGAAGCAGATGACCGTGCTATTTCTGCCCATAGATTGACCCTCAATAGGGGCATGAGAGGCCGCTATACCCACCACATAGACTTTGAGCATGGATAGGGAACGTCCCTTATCCAGCAGCTCTTGTAGAAATGACAACAGCTCTGCCAATTCGGAAGTGAGGGGGTCTTTGCCGCGGTTTAGACACCAAGCGGAGAAAAAAAGACCACTTTAAGGCGTAGAGGCGTCTTGTAGACGGAGCTCTAGCCTCCAGAATTGTGTTTAAGACTCGCTCTGGGAGGCACGAAGGC